ATAACATACATACATAACATACATACATAACATACATACATAACATACATACATAACATACATACATAACATACATACATAACATACATACATAACACACATACATAACATACATACATTAATTACATACATACATTAATTACAGACATACATTAATTACAGACATACATACATAACATACATACATAACACACATACATAACATACATACACTAATTACATACATACATTAATTACAGACATACATTAATTACAGACATACATTAATTACATACATTACATTACATTACATTACATTACATTACATTACATTGCATTGCATTACATTACATTACATTACATACATACATACATACATAGCTACACATATATATATATATATAGTATGTATTATATATATAGTATGTATAATATGTATGTATTATGTATTAGTATGTATTATATATATAGTATGTTTTTTAGGGACTTTTTTTGGCAGATGAGACTTTCTCGTGCCAGTTCATGCATGCTCGGCTGACACATCAGCGTTCTATACCAACCTGTCTGGCAGTAACGTGCCGCACTCGTCGTACTTGCCCTTGCTCCCGCACCCTTGCGCTTCACGGGTGACCGGCCCTGGCTCATGCACGGAAACTACTCGCTTCTCAAGAAAGGCCTTGGTCCTTGGTCTCCTCGATCCGATCGAAGGCTTGAAGGAATTCTTTGAGCCCCTTCGGTCCTGCCATGTTTTTGGTCCGGTGACATCTTGCCTTCCCAAAGTGAAGCCGCTTCGTCCGTGGGCATGGTGTTGCTGCGGTGGCTGCACGTATGTCTTCTGCCCTCAGGCTTGGGGCGCGGTAGAACGTGGTAGAAACCCAATCTCTTTTGGGCAAAAGGTGATTATATGATGACAATCAGGGATTGTCATATCGGGTGGCAAATGGTAGTGTTTTTTAAGGTAGGGTTTGAAAAATACATAATGCATAAGTTCTCATCAGTTTTCATCATCAAAACTTGAAAATTGAGGAAAACTAAGGAGAATTGAGGAAAAAATGAGCGGAAAACGACGGTGAACTAATTATTGTTGTTTGTTTGTTTTTTGTTTGTTTATGTAATGCCATTGCTTATCTTGTACTGTATTTATGTAACTTATGTTCAATTTCCAATTATATAATAGTTTTGCTTATTTTTGAAACTTTAGACATTTTTTTCAAAACGTACTCGTTTTCTTTACTTGTTGGAAATGAAAGTCACGTGTGTTTTCACTCATCATAATCCCCCCCCCAACACTAAACCGCCCCCCAAGATAATAAACACCCGTCAGTGCCTGTGGTTGCCACTACTGAACACTTACAGTACCAGTACCAATACCTCTTGATAATTGGTGTTGTTTTTGTAGCCTTTTCACTGTGGGGCAAGGTTGGCCCAAAGATTGGTTTGTCAATACTCCAAACGACCAGCATGTTTGGCAATCCAACCTAGACAATCATCACGTGTAATCGGTACCCTCTGGTAAACTAACATAGCAAACTGGAAAATCACCATGTTTAATAGTATTACCACCATTTATAAATGGGCCATAATCCATAGCTATGTTAGTTTACTGGAGGGTAAATCATCGAACTAAACGGGCAATCTAAACCATGGCTATGTGAATTTACCGGAATGATGACGATGACACATGGGTCAATGGGTATATCATCCAGCCTTTGACCATGACACATACTGTGGATGGTTGCGAAATCCTGCACCAGTTGGTAGATGGACAAAATCCCAGCTACAATCCCTGGTTTTTAGAGTGTTTCCATAGGAATCACCACAGTGTGCAAAACATGGCTTGTCAACCCGGCAGTATCATCACATCTCCGAAAACCAAACGGTACCCAAACGGTATCCGTTTACGGTGCCCTGGTTGTCATAGATGGTTACGTTACTGGATGGTTAGGCTTTCCCCAGGTGATTTCATGGGTAAGTTGACCAACTTGACCCATCCCCACATGGGGGTTTCCTAAAATAGGGGGTACCCCTAAAAATCCTTCATTTCTACACAGGATGGGGCCACCATTCGATAGCGTTCAGTTGCCTAAAAAAAGGGGCTGAATTCTATGGTTTATGGTAGATATAACTATGGTTAATGGTGGTATTTCATGGTTTTCCATGAAATACATGAAATACACCAACCAGCTATTGGGGGACCTCCATTTATGGAACCCCCATGGGTACTCAACAAAAATCTCCTCCAGCTTCCACCGGACAGCCCAAAAACGCCCAAATCGCACGACCTGGGGAATCGAATGCATCGTTGGTTCCGCCTCAGATCGCCAGCGGATGGGCGATGGATAATTTACATGGGGATATAAGGAGAGCCCATGAATATCATGAACCTATGGAATATCCCCATTCTATCAGGAACTGGAATGTATCATATATCAACATTTGGAATATATAAGGAATATATCAGGAAATAGAAATACATCAGGGAATAGACATATTCAATGGGGATAATACAATGGGGATATAACCAACACAATATGGAATGTATCATGAACTGGAATATAGCCAACAATATGACTGTTTTTTTAGCCGTGTCTGAAAATGGAGTATTTATCCCATATGGCTCTAAGGAGAACATGAAACTCCAGACATGGCAAGGGGTCAAAACGAAACACGAGAAACCGCCAAGAAAAACTGGTTGGTGGTTGAGCCACCCCTCTGAAAGATATTAATAAGTTGGGATTATTATTCCCAATATATGGAAAAATAAAACATGTTCCAAAGCACCAAGCAGAAAATAAATATGCCAACTACAACTAGCCTAAGAACCTGGGATGCAAAATGTTTTTTTTTCGAGACCCCAGGGTGTTTTTTTTCGAGGGACCAGGCCTTCCATTGTCATGGGATCATCGGACAGCAGTCTTTCAACCACCTAACCTCTGGTTATGTCAAAATAGCTATGGAAAATCACAATTTTTAATGGGAAAATCCACTATTTCAATGGCCATTTTCAATAGCTATGTTAAATTACCAGAGGGTATTTAAGGCAAGCTTTATGCTTGTTGGGGGATGGAAACTAGTACAGGGCCCGCATGCTGGGAAAAAACGATCGCGATGGTACGAGTCGTGCGTTGCTGGGCAGTGCGTATGCTGCGGCAGGATAGAAGTGTGGCTCTAAAAAAATCAAACAAAACATATTCGTCGTGATGTCCCCATTTGAGCCACTAAACATACCACTATCCCGTCTCACTATACTAGTTTGTTGATAATGTTGACAGGTTCCCGTATAATCCTTAATATGGATTGTAATTGTCCCCAATAACCCAGGTAGTAGAACTACTTATTTCAGAACCAATTGATCAATAGCCATTTCAGGAACCTAAATCGGAGGTACCTACCATATATAAGGCCTAATTAAGGGTTAAAAGGGAATCTCCGCACAACATTTGACCTCAAATATCGTACAGTACCTCCATTTTCCAATCAACCAGAGTATATATATATATACATATATCAGGGATTATTAGTGAAAACTATCAACTAGTATGAGATGAGATCGTGTTTGTTTTCCATAGCTCATGTTGCATAGCGAATGCCGTCACAACAGAACCAGCCCCCTTCAAATCATGACAGGAGGCGATGTGTTTGATCACCACCGGGATGCCAAATTCCCATAGGAACATCCTGGCTGCAAAATCCCCTGGTTGATGGAGGTTGAGAGCTTGAAGAATCATCTATCAATAGGCAAGTCTCAATTGGAGTCTTCATTTATAGATGGAAACTGTCCAATTTGGAAACCTCCATTTACTGTGAATTTTCCATTGCCATGTTTACCACAGGGTGTTGATGATCTTGGGAACCAAAAGATTGACACATGGCTGTGACTCGAAATGTGGTATGCACCCAAATAGCAATGTTAATCAATTTTGAGACAAACTTAAATGGTCGGTCACGCAATCAGCCCTTTTTGGTGCTCACAAGTCGATACTTATACACATGTATGCTTACAGTTTATTCTTCTTTTTAAGTTTTAACCATTGGCAAATTTTCCGAAGGGCAGCTGACTCTCATCCATCTTCTATGCTAACGTGGTAAACCCAACATTTAAAACTTGCCATTTGGGGATCATAGTTACCACATGTTACCACCCATGTATGGTTATATTAGGGATTGCGTATTGTTGGTTTTACCGCAGTGTTGAAAACTGTCAATGAAGGAACACATAAGAAATGGGTATGTCACCAGTCCTGGCGGCCGGGATTCTTACATGTTGGTGGTGCTCCCTAGTTTTTGAAGTTCTAGTAGCTACAGTTCGAGATATAACATAGTTCTATACAATCGATTTTGTTGATGTTTGACTAACTGCTTCATTACCCATCTAACATGATTTGACTATAGTAGTGACTATAGCTATCATCACCTTTTTACCCAAGTTAGCCTAGCTACTTCCAACTTTGCTAAGATGCTGGATGATCACCACTCCACCGAATCCCAAAAGGGCCCAAACTTCTTATCATCAGAAGACGTCAGCAAACCTCAACGGTATCGCGCGGCACGGAGGATAGGCACCATTGGAGCTTTGGATATGTTTGGATGACGTTCTTGTTGCAATCAATCAGTGATAAATATAAGACATGTGTAAACTTGCACTATCTAGCTTTCGAATGAGTACCCTCCAGTAAACTCACATAGCTATGGAAAATCCCGTTGAGTTCAATGATTTAGCTATTAATCACTGGATTGGTTTGAGGGAAAATCTACAGGAAACCATGGTTTTTACCATCAAATATAGGGCTTTCCTGTAAATTTTCCCATCATCCAATTCTATGAATTAAAAGTATGATGATCTTCCTTCTCGCTACGAGTACTCGTGAATTTCCCGGAGGCGCGACATGGTCCAATGGTGAACTCCTGGCCCATTGATTGATGGTGAAAACCACCCGTACCAACGTGGTTGCTACGCAACTGTCATCCCAACTATCCTAAAACTGGTGGAAACACTGCAGCCAACAATATTAGCATAGGATTTTCCATATTTTCCCATGAGACTTGAGATATCTTGAGATGATGTACTGGTCGACAACCCAACAATATGACTTTCCCATGAGACTTGAGATATCTTGAGATGATGTACTGGTCGACAACCCAACAATATGTGAATATATTTGATATACATTTTTTGCCATAGCAATATCGCAATTGCCATTTCGATCTTACCCTCTGGTAAACATACAAAAAACATCAAAAAACGGGAAAATCCACTATTTCTATGGCCATGGCTTCAATAGCGAACTGTCACGCTGAGTCTCCAGGCGTTTCCCATCCTCACAGATGGTCACGGTATTGACGGCTCCCATGTGCTCGTCGTACTCCTGGGGGTATATTTTGTGGGTGACATGGGCCACATATGGCCACATCTATCATCATCCTGAAGTAGACCAGTTATGGCATAAGGATTTATTTTGGCATGAAGTAGATCTATCATCATCAAGGATTCTATTTTGGCATGGGGGTGAATATGGGATTTTCACACATATTCCGCGTTTACATAGTTTTTTTTTTTAATTGAAAAAGGTTTTATCTACAAAAGGATGACTATACATTTGAGAGAGTTCCTCTCTTGACTCTTGTAATTAAACATGGCTAGCTGGGAAATCATGTGTATTATATATACATAAATGGCGGATTGACCATTGCCATGTTTGATCACCGGAGGGTAAGTCATAACCTGTTTCTATAGTTCTTTACCTACAAATCCAACAAGTCTCTCATGTATATAAATAAACACAATGTACAATTTATATATATATATAATTATGTAATTATACGTATATATATATACCCTCTGGTAATTTAACATAGCTATTGAACATGACCATAGACATAGTGGATTTTCCCATGAATAGCATGGTGATTTTCCATAGTTATGTTAAATTACCAGAGGGTATATGAAAATACAGTACCATATTCAAATCTCTCACCATCTCTCTCTAGCCTGTAGATCTTTCTCCACATAGCTGTTTTGGAAGTTGGTGTCACATCTTCCAAGAAACACCAATGCAACATGTATAGAAGATAGCCTCTGGTAAACATACAAAAAGCTATTGAAAATCACCATGCTATTAATGGGAAAACTCACTATAAATGGGCCATTTTCAATAGCTATGTTAAATTACCAGAGGGTAGCTGTTATGTTGCACTGGTCAAAGACATCATCACCTACGTGCAGAACAAGCCGTCAGTGACCCCAGTGACAAGCCCTGAACCGCAAATCGCCGTTTCTTTCAAACGGTTGGAAATCGATTGTCATCTATGCCATCCCATCCTATCCTATCCACTGTATCTATCCTTCTTTCTCTCTATCTATTTATCTATCTATCGATCCATCTATCTACCTATCTACTTATACATCTTGACATTTCTTCATGTTGAAATAACAAGCAGACAGGACACACAGAACAATATCCTTGAACATAGGTGTAGAAAAAACACAAAAAACTAGCGCAAACCTACCGGATTTGCTAGCGCTGCCTTTCAGAATTGGTGAATTTAGTTGCGTGCCGTCTCATAAAGATGAGGAAAAACCATTAGGTCCCCAGTAATTATCAACAACTAGCACAAACTTCTGTCAACTTTTTTTGGGCAAATAGTAACATATATATATATTATAAATAAGTAATTATACAATGATCCCCAAAAGCGGAGACGTACTAAGACCCATGGGCGCCCCACCTGCACGATTTCGCAGGTGTTCGAGTCCCATTGCACCGCCTCACAGGGTGGATGCAAAGACCAGGGGCTGTAAAGGGGAGCAGTGTGGGTTATCTAATTCTAGATATCACCATGATCATGAATAATTAATTGAATATAGTTGGAAAATATCATCCATAAAACTACCTATTATCTATTATATATTCTCATCTATTATCCATTATCTAACTGAATATAGTATAGGATGGACAATCTATATCCTAATTATCACCATAATCTATGGGTATAGAATATTCATAAATACTATAGATATATCTACCATCCATGAATCTTAGTTAACCTTTGATTAGTTGCAAACCGACTTACTTTTCTAGAGGGCTCATGGTTTTTCAGAAAAATGACCATGAATTCATGGCCAGAAAATCAGTGTGAGTCCTCAGTGTTGAGGTGCCAAACCGATAATGGTAGTTGCTGTGCAAGTTCATCTGGTTGGTGGTATACCTACCCCTCTGAAAAATATGCTCGTCAGTTGGGATGATGAAATTCCCAACTGAATGGAAAGTCATAAAAATCATGTTCCAAACCACCAACCAGTATATAACCATCATATTCCCATTGTTGTTGGTTTATGCCCTTTTTTACCACTATTAACCATCACTATTAACCGGATATATGGGGGGTTGGGATGGGAAACCAGTCATATTCTGCGCTTTGGCCCCTCGCTGAACACTGTACAGCATGGGGGCCCCCGTCCGTGGAAGCTTGGTCCATCACCAGGCAACAAAAAGGCTTCGTGGGGATGAAACATGATGAAACCAAAAAAAACGGGCGAGTTAGATGGGTATTATAATCCAACTAAATATAGTATATTATATCTACCATCTGGTTATTTAACATAGCAAACTGGAAAATCACCATGCTATTAATAGGTAAACCATCTATAAATGTGTCATGTTCCATGGCTATGTTAAATAACCAGAGGGTATAATTATTTTGGATTATTATTTAGCTATTTATTATAGCTATATGTTATATTTTAAGATGTAATAATCCAAATCAAAACTGTTGGGCACCACCTTGTATTTTTCTGTAGCAAGTCACTGTATACAGCTCCCCTCTGCCTACTGCAGTTGAGGCCTACGTTTGCGAAATCGCGACAGGTTGACGCACAGTTCACTTGGTGAACGTCTGGTTTTTTGGAGGGTATACAACTATAGCATCTATGGGGTTTCTAAACCAAAATACAACTACAAGGTGGTGCCCCATAGTTAGCTAAGTTATTTTATAACTCCCATAACTATGGTTTATGGCAAATATAACTATAGTTAATGGGGTTTACAAACCAACTTATAACTGGGGGGCACCATCCTGTGGGGTTTATAAACAAAACAACTAGAGGTTTCTATCTTTGTGGATTCAAGCTGAGTGTTCCGAAGAGTTGCAATGCTTGACGTCTGGTGGGTAGCTAGACACCCCATTGACCCATAAACATGGTTAGTTCGCTCCAGAGTCTTATAACTTTCAGCTATTTCTGTTGGTAATTACATGTAGTATCATGATGATATCATGTAGTTACTTTGAGTGTCTTGGCACCATCAATCAATTACAAGTCTCATATATACATAATTATTGATATTGCACTGGGACCAGGATAACACCGTCCCATTACTGATGAAGTTGGGCCTGTCTTACAGTTTTTTCTCCTGGATCGATATCCAAATGGCACGACTTCGCAACGACGGGTGCCTTCTTGTTGGAACAGCCCGTCACGATGACATTCTGCTGAGAGGGATCTGGATGAATAGAGACCTGCAGCAATCGGGCAGTGTTTAAATTTCTTGTCCATTCCATCATACTGATTGAGTAAAATGGATTCCGATTCCAAGCTCATGGATAATTATAATGCAATCCCCAGTATATAATAAATATATCTATATATATATACACACCCGTCAACCAAAAAACTTCAGCTATTGGTTATCCGGTCATTACGAAGGTGAACCACTTAGAAACATCAACATACCTCTTGGTGAATCGGGGAACTTGGGAGTTGCTGACCATGGGGAAAAACAATCTTGTGATGCGTTGCTGTGTTCAAATGGGGGAATTGTCACTGTTTACACCTCACCCTACTTTCACATACTTTCACGTCACCCCACCAAACTGATACAGGAGGTCGCGGACGTGCAAAGACAGAATATATGTTCATAGAAAATGCTACGAAAAAAGACCTCTACATAGCATAGCTATGTGTTTCCACAGGAAATACAAAGATGATTATTTTCAATAGGAATGCATGGCCGGCATGGTAGGCATGAGTTAACTGGGCCCCGTACGCAGAAAGGCGTCTTCTTGTTGGTGAAAGTCGCAATGACTTTTCCCGTTTCAGTGTCCCAATACCTAGCTCCGGGTCTCAAATGGATCGTCGGCAGGAAAATGCACAAGTTGATGGTTGAACCACAAGTGACAACAATCAATGCCTGAGTTTTGAATATATGCTTAATATACTTAAATAATCTGACATGGGGTTCTGAAGTAGAAGATGTCTCGAATCGAAAGCAGCATTTGATCTTCATTTTTTTCAGCACCTGGCGGTCACCCCATATCCTATCTTTTGGAGGTTAAACGAGCTGTAAATGGTAGATCGAAATTGATGTTCAAAGGTCTGGCCTTCTCACTTTATGCCTAGACCCTCCAAAGGAACGCAGGAACGCTCAAAAATGGTAGAAATAATTACTAAATTTGTATTAAATGATGAATTCTGAAGTAAAACACCATTGTAGGATACAAAGGCAGGGTCTAGGCAGATATTTTGGATACTCCGATATGATTGGTCATAGAAATCGAAGGCCCATTGCCGCTGTTCCGCCCCGGGGCTCGCGACTGAATATTTTTGTCGTAGGAGACACTGTAGAACCGCCGACCGTCCTTAGCGTTTTTCCATGGCCCCCTTAAGGGAGCCCCGGGTTGCAACGCCAAATGGCTAAGTGCTCGGGTTTAATGGTCCCATCATTACCTCGAACCCAGAGACACATGAGAGATCTTGAGATCAAAATGGACAAAACCATCAGCGCTAATGGACATTAATGGACATTAATGGATATTTTCATGGATATTTTATGATATTTTCATGGAAATTTCCATCCCATGGGGATACCGAGACATCATCCAGTCGTCATGGCATCCCCGGGGATCCCCGCTGCACAGAAGGCGATGTCCCGGACCGCCTGATCGTGTCCCAAGTAGCTCCGCAGGCACCTCCCAAGGCGGAAGCCATGATCTGGAGCCTGGTTCAACCGAAAAAAAACTGGGAACATCTGTCTGTTCATCTTCGGTCTATAATATCAGAATAATATATATATATACGTATCATAGCCTATCCAGAAGATATTTTCCAGAAGATATTTAAAAAAATAATACCCAAACATTGGATCCAGTGCTGGCTTATCATGAAAAATCAAATAATTTTCTGAAACAAACATTTATGGAGGTATGCCCCATTTCAATCAGTCAAATGGGCAGTTGAGGAAGAAACACTGGTGATGCGCGAGTAGTTTCCACAAGTGGTGCGGAATGTCATGACTTTTCAGGAAATATCGATATGACATCCTTGGTCATAAATCCATATACCCTCTGGTAAACTAACATAACTATGGAAAATCACCATTTTTTTATGGAAAATTCCACACAAAATGGTCATTTTCCATAGCTATGTTGGTTTACCAGAGGGTAAACGCACACGTCTGAAGGAATCATCTAGTTCGGGGTGTTCAAAAAATAGCTATGTTTGATGACCGAAGGCTACGTTCAAATTTTCGCTGCCAGGGCTCCGCACTTTCGCTGATTGTGGTAGTCCCAGATCATGATCTTGCCATCCATACCAGCAGAAAGCAGAAGATGAGCCGTCTTGGGAAACCTCAGGAGCCGTGCTTAAAGGTATATAACCTAGGCAGGGACCCACAAGATAGACTATCAAATGATCATCTTCTTCTCACAATTTACTGTATCTTTTGGATAAAGTTGAGGAACAAATATGTGTATATATATATACCCATAGGATCCATGTATGCCATATATGGTAACATTTACCATCAATATACCCCAAATGTTAGCATATATACCATACATGGATCCTATGGGATATATTCATCATCAAAGGAAGTTGGGAAGCAATACTTCCGAGTTACGAATGATTTTTACTTGATGAAATTGACTATGATGAAGGGTGGTACGTGATCTAACAATACATAATCTAACAATACATAACAAAAGAATAAGAAGCTATGAAATTGACTATGATGAAGGGTGGTAGATCATGTGACAATACATAATCCAACAATACATAACAAAAGAATAAGAAGCTATGAAATTGACTCTGATGAAGGGTGGTACATCATGTAACAATACATAATCTAACAATACATAGCAAAAGAATAAGAAGCGATGAAATTGACTATGATGAAGGGTGGTAGATCACATAACAATACATAATCTAACAATACATAACAAAAGAATAAGAAGCTATGAAATTGACTATGATGAAGGGTGGTAGATCACATAACAAAACGTAATCCAACAATACATAACAAAAGAATAAGAAGCTATGAAATTGACTATGATGAAGGGTGGTAGACCACATAACAAAACATAATCTAACAATACATAACAAAAGAATAAGAAGCGATGAAATTGACTATGATGAAGGGTGGTAGATCACATGACAATACATAACAAAAGAATAAGAAGCTATGACACAGGGTGGTGACGAAGGGATGTGGTTACGATGGGAAGTGGTGAGGAAGGGAAGTGGTGAGGAAGGGAAGTGGTGACGAAGGGAAGCGGTGAAGAAGGGAAGTGATGATGAAGGGGAGTGGTGACGAAGGGACGTGGCGAGGAAGGGAAGTGGTGGAGAAGGAAAGTGGTGACGAAGGGAAGTGGTGAAGAAGGGAAGTGATGATGAAGGGGAGTGGTGACGAAGGGAAGTGGTGAAGAAGGGAAGTGATGATGAAGGGGAGTGGTGACGAAGGGAAGTGGTGAGGAAGGGAAGTGGTGAAGAAGGGAAGTGGTGACGAAGGGAAGTGGTGAAGAAGGGAAGTGGTGAAGAAGGGAAGTGATGATGAAGGGGAGTGGTGACGAAGGGAAGTGGTGTGGAAGGGAAGTGGTGGAGAAGGGAAGTGGTGAGGAAGGGAAGTGGTGAAGAAGGGAAGTGATGATGAAGGGGAGTGGTGAAGAAGGGAAGTGGTGAGGAAGGGAAGCGGTGAAGAAGGGAAGTGGTGACGAAGGGAAGTGGTGAAGAAGGGAAGTGATGATGAAGGGGAGTGGTGACGAAGGGAAGTGGTGAGGAAGGGAAGTGGTGAAGAAGGGAAGTCGTGACGAAGGGAAGTGGTGAAGAAGGGAAGTGGTGACGAAGGGAAGTGGTGAGAAGGGAAGTGGTGACGAAGGGAAGTGGTGACGAAGGGAAGTGGTGGAGAAGGGAAGTGGTGACGAAGGGAAGCGGTGACGAAGGGAAGTGATGATGAAGGGGAATGGTGAGGAAGGGAGGTGGGGTCGATGGGAAGTGGTGAGGAAGGGAAGTAGTGAGGAAGGGAAGTGGTGACGAAGGGAGGTGGTGACGATGGGAAGTGGTGAGGAAGGGAAGGGGTGAGTTGGGGAGGAAGCCGGAGCACGAAACCTTGCGTTTTTCCGAGTAAAGTGGCTGCAGCCGGCGATGAAAGGTACCTCGTCTGTGCGGCGGTTGCGGCTGGGGTCGTTTCTGTCGCGAATTGTTCCTCCTATGTGTTTTGCAACGAGTGGTTGTTCCTGTGTGCGTAGTTCTATGCGCTTCTTGAAGCTGTGGTGGCAGATCGCATTGGAATGGCTGCATGATTGTTGTCATTTGGTGTTGCCACGTCCGTAGATAGGTGCAGGTATGCTACGGGATGCTGTGAAACGCAGTGTAGTGGCTGCATGAATGTTGCATGGGCTATGTTTTGGGGAGGAAGCCGGACCACGAAACCTTGTGTTTTTCCGTGTAAAGTGGGTGCAGCCGGCGATGAAAGGTACCTCGTCTGTGCGGCGGTTGCGGCTGGGGTCGTTTCTGTCGCGAATTGTTCCTCCTATGTGTTTTGCAACGAGTGGTTGTTCCTGTGTGCGTAGTTCTATGCGCTTCTTGAAGCTGTGGTGGCAGATCGCATTGAAATGGCTGCATGATTGTTGTCATTTGGTGTTGCCACGTCCGTAGATAGGTGCAGGTATGCTACGGGATGCTGCGAAACGCAGTGTAGTGGCTGCATGAATGTTGCATGGGCTATGTTTTGGGGAGGAAGCCGGACCACGAAACCTTGTGTTTTTCCGTGTAAAGTGGTTGCAGCCGGCGATGAAAGGTACCTCGTCTGTGCGGCGGTTGCGGCTGGGGTCTTTCTGTCGCGAATTGTTCCTCCTATGTGTTTTGCAACGAGTGGTTGTTCCTGTGTGCGTAGTTCTATGCGCTTCTTGAATCTCTGGTTGCAGATTGCATTGGAATCGCTGCTTCATTGTCGTCATTTGATGTTGCCACGTGCGTAGATAGGTGCGGGTTTGCCACGGGATGTTGCGAAACGCATTGTAATGGCTGCATGAATGTTGCATGGGCTATGTGTTGGGGAGGAAGCCGGAGCACCAAACCTTGCGTTTTTCCGTGTAAAGTGGCTGCAGCCGGCGATGAAAGGTACCTCGTCTGTGCGGCGGTTGCGGCTGGGGTCGTTTCTGTCGCGAATTGTTCCTCCTATGTGTTTTGCAACGAGTGGTTGTGTCTGTGTGCGTAGTTCCATGCGGTTCTTGAATCTCTAGTTGCAGATTGCATTGGAATGGCTGCATGATTGTTGTCATTTGGTGTTGCCACGTCCGTAGATAGGTGCAGGTTTGCTACGGGATGCTGCGAAACGCAGTGTAGTGGCTGCATGAATGTTGCATGGGCTATGTTTTCGGGAGGAAGCCGGACCACGAAACCTTGTGTTTTTCCGTGTAAAGTGGGTGCAGCCGGCGATGAAAGGTACCTCGTCCGTGCGGCGGTTGCGGCTGGGGTCGTTTCTGTCGCGAATTGTTCCTCCTATATGTTTTGCAACGAGTGGTTGTTCCTGTGTGCGTAGTTCTATGCGTTTCTTGAAGCTGTGGTGCCAGATCGTATTGGAATGGCTGCATGATTGTTGTCATTTGGTGTTGCCACGTCCGTAGATAGGTGCAGGTTTGCTACGGGATGCTGCGAAACGCAGTGTAATGGCTGCATGAATGTTGCATGGGCTATGTTGTGGGGAGGAAGCCGGAGCACGAAACCTTGTGTTTTTCCGTGTAAAGTGGCTGCAGCCGGCGATGAAAGGTACCTCGTCTGTGCGGCGGTTGCGGCTGGGGTCGTTTCTGTCGCGAATTGTTCCTCCTATGTGTTTTGCAACGAGTGGTTGTTCCATGTTGTTCCTGTGTGCGTAGTTCTATGCGCTTCTTGAAGCTGTGGTGGCAGATCGCATTGGAATGGCTGCATGATTGTTGTCATTTGGTGTTGCCACGTCCGTAGATAGGTGCAGGTTTGCTACGGGATGCTGCGAAACGCATTGTAGTGGCTGCGTCAAGGTTGGTCGGTGCTGCGGCTGCATGCGTAATACTGTTGTCTTTTGCAGCTGAGCATCGTAAATCGTATTGGAATGGCTGCATCCACGCTGCAATAGTGATTTGTCAGCAGATTTTCTCAACTTTGGCGCTAGTAATTTTCGTTCTAAAGATCCTTTTAAAAAATGCTTCAAAATCGCCTTTTTTCTGCTTCGGCGTCGAGATCCGGTTTTGAAGCTGCAATTTTCGACACCGTTGCGCGTAGTTCTTTTGTGTTTTGCAACTCAGTCTCTGCAGATCGCATTGTAGTGGCTGCGTCAAGGTTGCTCGGTGCTGCGGCTGCATGCGTAATACTATTATTGTCTTTTGCGCTGAACAGCGTAATTCGTATTGGAATGGCTGCATCCAGGCTGCGATAGTGATTTGTCAGCAGATTTTCTCAACTATGGCGCTAGTAATTTTCCTTTTAAAATCGTTTGAAAAAATGCTTCAAAATCGTCTTTTTTCTGCTTTGGCGTCGAGATCCGGTTTTGAAGCTGCAATTTTCGACACCGTTGCGCGTAGTTCTTTTGTGTTTTGCAACTCAGTCTCTGCAGATCGCATTGTAGTGGCTGCGTCAAGGTTGCTCGGTGCCGCGGCTGCATGCGTAATACTATTGTCTTTTGCAGCTGAACAGCGTAAATCGTATTGGAATGGCTGCAACCAGGCTGCGATAGTGGTTTGTCAGCAGATTTTCTCAACTTTGGCGCTAGTAATTTTCCTTCCAAAATTCCTTTTAAAAAATGCTTCGAAATCGCCTTTTTCTGCTTCGGCGTCGAGATCCGGTTTTGAAGCTGCAATTTTCGACACCGTTGCGCGTAGTTCTTTTGCGTTTTGCAACTCAGTCTCTGCAGATCGCATTGTAGTGGCTGCGTCAAGGTTGCTCAGTGCTGCGGCTGCATGCGTAATACTATTATTGTCTTTTGTTGCTGAACATCGCAAATCGTATTGGAGTGGCTGCATCCAGGCTGCGATAGTGATTTGTCAGCTTCTAATTCATGAGTTCTATTTTTGTGCTACTGTCATCTATGTGTAGTTGACGTCGGCCGACCCACAGAACAAGTCATGCCGTGATGCTCGCAGCTGTGTTTGGCTTAAATGAAGGGTATGCAATCAATGATGATGCATGACGGGGTATGAATGCAAGCATGATGTCAAGAAGGCATGCAAAAAAGATTTCCAGAAGGCAGCAAAGAAAGAAGTGAGGATTTCCATTTATTTGTTACAAAACACGTTTCCAGATGAGATGAAGTGTGGAGTGTGAAGAGTGCAGTGTGAAGTGTGGGGCGTGAAGAGTGCAGTGTGAAGTGTGAAGTGTGGAGTGTGAAGAAAGCAATGAGAAGTGAGAAGTGTGAAGTGTGGACTGTGAAGTGTGAAGTGTGGAGTGTGAAGTGTGGATTGGGGAGAGTGCAGTGTGAAGTGAGAAGTGTGAAGTGTTGATTGCGAAGGGTGCAGTGTGAAGTGTGAAGACTGTCAAGTGTGAAGTAAGACGTGGAGCTTCAAATGTGACATGTGCAACACGACACCAGTTTCGCAGAGTGCACGCACGCACGGGCTTGGCTGGCGCACGGCGCATGCAAGTTCTATAGATGAGAAAGGTCTCATATATATATCTTTAAGGCAACTTCCGCCCCGCCTCGTGCGGGTACTACTGGTACATATATATATATTACATGTGCCATGGTCAAAACCAAGGATTAATGGGGTATGGTCATCCGACCATTGGGGATTCCTTAAATGGCTATTACTAATCCCTATTAAAGGTTATGTATGATATATATGGTAATATATATATATGGCCATCCCAAAAGGGGTATCTTATCCTTGACCATGGCATATCTGCTCAACATCTTGAGGAATATGTGCTCTGTTTCTTCACACGAAGCATCAAAAGTCACGAAATACTCCATGAGGGTCGTTTGAGGTTGTTGTGTCCAGAAGAATCCACACCACAAAGCCATCAAAAATAGGGTATCTTCTATTATTTCCTCTAGAAGCATCACTTTGTTCAACCACTTTCCAACCCCATTCCAACCATCACAAGTGATGTTGGTCTCACCACAATAACATATTCAAATCACTAGTTTCCCACCACACCATTCCAACCCCATCAAATTACTCACCCTTTCGGAAAATCACCCATTCCCCCAAACCATATTACCATCTGGTAATGACTGTTACATAGCTATTGAACGTGGCCCAGTCGAAATAGTGCATTTACCCATTAAAAATGCATGGTGGATCTTTCCACTTCGCAAACTGTCAACGTTTACCATTTCGGGTATATCTCCATTAAATCACCATTCAAGTCTATTAAATCACCACTAAATCCCATGAGGTATCACCATGGTACCAGAGTTTACCAGGCCAGGTACCCTCTGGTAATTTAACATAGCTATGGAAAATCACAATTTTTAATGGGAAAATCTCACTATAAATGGTCATTTTCAAAAGCTATGTTAGTTTACCAGAGGGTAGTTATGTACCCCCCCAGAAACCCATCATTGAGTGGGAAAAAACACCAAAATCGAGCCATGGTGCCATCGAATCTTGGACACCCCCATGGTGTGCCCTGTCCTGGGACAAGCTTTGCGCGCGTTGCTTGGTGCTATACCCAAGGAATAGTCAGTCCCACTCCATAATGGCTTTGTAATAAATGTTGTAGAAGAAAATGTTAGTGACCTAAAATGTTTAAAAGTGTCTTCTTAGTTACCTAAAAGGCTCTTGTTCTATGTCTTACTCATCTTTTAATGGCTGTATGGCTAACCAACGATTTCACGATCCCACATATGTGCGTCGAGTTACATGGTCATCCCATAGTGAAGATCAGTGAAGGACTGTGGAATGTGTACTTTTTTCTGCTTGGTGGTTTTATAACCATCTTGAAAAATGGGAAGGAATATCCATGATTATTTATGGTTGATACATGGTTATTATATGGTTAGTGATGGTTAATAATAAACTGGTTGGTGGTTTAAAAAAACATCTTGAAAAATGATGGAGTTCGTCAATGGGGTTGGGATGACATCCCATATATGAAATGGAAAATAAAACATGTTTGAAACCACCAACCAGTTTTTCATTGTAGCTCCAGTCCAGGAAAAAAAACACCTGGCTGTACTTTTATTGTATCCACTGATATGACCCAGAAATCTGAGAATGTCGATGTGGGACTAGCCAAGTTTGAGACAGAAAAAAAAAACGATAGCCACCATCAATAGCAGACTTGATCTTCCACGTCATCTGGATGTGTAAGCCATGGCCCATGTGCCCTGCGGTAAGCAGTAACCATGGTTGAAAGCCGCACATCTCATAATTGGATCAGGGCTCTACAGGCTTTACCCGAAGAGTTCATTCCGAAAACACAATGGTTAAACAAATATCACCATTGTTTATTGGTTAATGAACAACAGGGCACTACCAATAAACTTGGGGAATACCAACAAAAAAATATTCCCTGTAGTATTCCCCAAGTTTATTGGTTAATTATATCACCATTGTCGTCGGCTGAACCCAATGAAGTAAATGTAAACCAATGCATCACATATGCATCTGTACATATGTATACGTGTGTACGTAAACATATACAACACTATTATCTATGGAACCAAATACATCTTGACATCATATTAGCCCCTCTAACACCCAAAAACACTCTCTCAGAAGGTAAACAAAATCACATAGATTCACATCTACGCATATACATATGTATAAATGTACTGTATACATACATATTCCTATTGTCATTACTACATATTATATATACATACAGGAATATATATTACATATTATACCGTATTATATTCATATATATATATATACTACTATAATCATTATACATGTATATTCATTTATATGCAGTAATTACCTATATAATACTATTTCTATAATCATGGTCTTGGGTCTCCAGGCCAGGTATGGACCCACTTCTTAGGCAAGAAACACCTCGTCGAAGAGACCAAGCGAAACGGGCACGGGGACACAGAAATTGAAGTGGTTATTAAGCTACTGACTGGAGTATATCATATATCAATGTATATATATATATATATATACGTCAACATGTTTGTGTATATATATTTATATACATTGATAGTTATATGTAATTATATATACCTGGGTGAACAGGTATCGTTACTACACAGTCATAACCGATTGGCCCCCCCAATACTTTAATGGGTTTGCAAACCCATTCCACTATAGTAACTATAGACAAATCCATTGCAATCCTGTTCAGCCTAGTTGGTTGTAAACTAAGTAGGGGGTCAATCTTGGTTAAAAAATACTATGATACTACTATTATAGCCATATAATATAATATTATATACCCCATAAACCCTAGTTAACCAACTCATAAAACCAATTTATTATAAGCTAACTTAGCTACCTAGGGGGCTTCTTCTGCAATTTCAGGATGTACCAAGTCCTTCTGAGGAAGTGTTGAGGGCAAGGTTTAGGGAGGTCAAGAAACCAAGAAAAACGTACCAATCCATGAGGATACGCGTGAAAGAAGCTCCGCCCTTGTTCCATGGTAAACCTTATGCCTCATGCAAGAGAGTAATTTATTAGCTGGGTTTCGCAGTGATATACAGGAACTATGTATGTATGTATGTATGTATGTAGATAGTTGTAATTAATTCTACTATTATGTATTATTTCAGTTTATGCCAAACATATCATTTACTGTACAAACCAGCCTCTGGATTTCTCTCTGAACTTCACTTTCTCTTCCATAAAAACCCTCACCTTCCAGTTGCCTTCCACTGGACGGTGCCCTTTCAAAGCTGGGTCAACGGCTGCTTATCATCCACGTCTTTGGTGCTGTTGGTCTGGCTGTGGCGTAATTTACCACACGGAAGCCATGGCCCATGTAAAATACAAGGTGGTGCCCCATAGTTAGCTAAGTTGTTTTATAACTCCCATAACTATGGTTTATGGCAGATATAACTATAGTTAATGGGGTTTATAAACAAACTTATAACTGGGGGGCACCATCCTGTAGGATCATTTACCAGTTCCAGAGAGTGACTTTCTGTAGCAAACTGTTTAAATACCGGGTGAGGAGCTTCAACTGCTTCAATTGCTTCAACCATCAAATCACTTTTGGGCCAATGATTTTCTTATGGCTTGCAGGCAAGAGATCCGCATTGATCTCCAGCACTTGAGTCACCTCATTTGGAGACTGATCTCCACCCAAGAAATTGATTTTCCAGCTTTGTCAGTGCTCCCATTGCTGGTAAACAAAAGACTGTAATGTGGGTAAAACAATAATAAACCACCCATTTGGGAATGGTTTATACCACCTATTTATGGTGATTTGAGGGGTGGTTTATTATTGTTTTACCCACATTAATTTAGCAAGCCAAGATTAAACCATGTGCTGGCCTTGTTCTCAATCCAAGATCTACCAGCATAGTCAGTCTCCTGGCATCCGTTGTGTAAATGAACAGGACGAACAGGACGAACAGGACGAACAGGACGCCATACCCTCCACTCTGCAGGGCGAATATGCTCCCAATCTTAATGTGGAATGGTCAGTCATAGCAGTATTATGTGTAACAGGATGCAACAGGAGATGAAATCTTCAAACATCTGTCAAAATGAAATTATGGCTAAAAGATGCTATATTTGTACATCCATTTCCATTTCCAGCTAGTGACTGCAACATCATAACATCGACTTCGTTGGGTCCCAGGTTTTTGCCCCATCCCAACACTGGGACCCCTGGGAGCGGTGCCAGAGACATGGTGACCATGGTACCAGAGACCACCAACTGGCTGGACATTATACAATGCCTGGCTGTCCTTGTTGCCATGGAAGATGGAAGTAACCCTTTCCTTGGTCTCTCGCTCTTCTCCTGGCTGATGCCAGGCTGATGCCAGGCTGCGACGTTCATATAAAACTTAAGTCTTGGCCATTTCCAACGTTTATGGGTCTGAAAGTAGAGACTTTCTTACAGATTCCTGGCTGATCCCACATGTTTGGACAAATTCAACTTATGAACTGCATCATTTTGCTGGATCTCTCATCATTCCAGTCAGTTAAGAATCCAACGAATCAACCAATGTTGGCAGGCCGAGCTTTACTGGAACAGAACAGTGCTAATTATAATCATTATATATATAATTATATATATAACTATATAATTATATATATATATATAAAAATATAATTATATATATATTCATTATATATAATGTATATATTCGTTATATAATGTATATATTCATTATATTCCCCATAGATTGGCCGGTGATGAAATGATTCTAAACCCGCCCCATTTGGATCCATTTGGAACTGCATTCCATCCCATGGTTTATCGAGACGTATCAATCATTTTCTCCCATGATGGTCAAAAGTTTGTGAACACCCGGTGAACACCCCCCAAGCCAAATTTCAAGCCCCGATCATATTGTTGGTAAATGTCCCATTGCATCTCTAAACCGTTGAGAATTGGCAATGGTGTATCATTGTGGATACCCTCTGGTAAACTAACATAGCTATGGAAAATCACCATGTTTAATGGGAAAATCCACTATTTCAATGGCCATGTTCAATAGCTATGTTAGTTTACCAGAGGGTACCACATTACCATCATTAATACCATATCATCACAGATTCAACAGAGAACAAGGTCTAAAGCCTCAAAACACCTAATTCTGGTTGGTGGTATACCTACCCATCTGAAAAATATGAAAGTCAGTTGGGATGATTCTTCCAAATATATGGAAAGTCATAAAATTCCATGGTTCCAAACCACCAACCAGTAATTTCAAATGTCCGGAATTACATCCTATCACTCTCATAGGATGGTCCTCGTAGAAAAAACATCTTGGAGACACTCCAAAAGCGTTTCAGTTGGTTTAAACTCTCAGTAAAACCGTTACCCTCTGGCAATTCTTCGAGAAGCAATAGTTACCAATAGTTCGATAATTTTCCCAGCACAAAATGACAAGGGTATAAACGTCCAACTTTCACTGCCACAAACATTGCCAATCTTAGATACCCTGCAACAAAAAAAGCAATTCTTAGCTGGTAAACGTAGATATTCCATGATTTTCCTATATTTATATCTATTAGCAAAAGATTAAAGATGATTAAAGGATTTACATCATCCATCCAGTCGACCCAAACAGGAAACCTAAAACTGGCACCCCCGAAATGGGACGCTGCCTTCCACCGCTTTCTCTTCTTCGGCTCGTCTCGCGACTTCCTCCTCTCGTGCCTGGTCCAATGGGCAGCCAACAGTAACAGTGCATCATCCGCAAGCCTGTACACTTTCTAACGAGATGCAATAGATCTGGGATAACCATTACGTAATGCCATGGATACAATGTATTACACGACCATCTCAGGGATTGCGCTGAATCCCATCTGCCTAAACACCCCCATCCCATGGTCGCAAACATCTCTAAATCCGGTCAAGGAAAAACCCACCAATTCACCAAGCTTCAGCAAGGTTAGTCACAGGAACCATCCCCAAGTTGCCTGATCTTTATCATCTAAGATTCTAATTGCATACAAGATTACCATCTGGTTATTTAACATAGCCATGGGAAATGGCCCATTTCTAGATGGTTTACCTATTAAAAATTGTAATTTTCCATGGCTATGTTAAATAACCAGATGGTACCCAACATAGGCTGTGGATCTGCAAATTACAGTCCCATGCGCCAAACATCATGCAGTAAAGCCAAGAACAAGTGCTTATATCGTTGATTCCCTGCTAAATATTTTCTGTTAGACATCAGACAATATATATACTGTATATATAAATATCAAAAATAAATCCATCAAAATCACAAAAAAAAACTCGAAGAACCAAATAAAGTGTCCGTGAGCCCAAACCATGGTATGCATATATATATGGAGATTTATCCATGTGCTTATCTAAGTTTATTGATCGCTTATTTACGGATGATTTATGAGCCATTCATTGTTAATGGTGTGATAATTGTCATCACCCATTTTAAAGCCAAAATCCAAGTGGATAAATCCACTGCTTAATAAATCCATACGTATTGTCTTGTAATTCAAAAACACATCTTACAAAACAAAGACACAACGTCACACTTTTTTAGAAAAAATGGTGATTGTTTATCACACCAATCCACAAATACCATAAAAACGACTCTGAATAAATAGTTGTAACATGTTGTAGCAATTCCCAAATGCTCCATGTATGGAATATTTACCAACATTTACCCTAAGAATCACCCAAAGAGCATATGGGATTCACTAACCTAAGAGTTTGGCGTCACTATGGGATACTTGCCCCTTACATTCACCATTCACTCAAACAAAATCCATGTCAAAAATGAACAAATGGAGTCACAATATTGTCGACGGATTGGTAGTCTCCATTATTATGATACTTAATTGTGAGTGCTATCCATTATATCGTCAACTGGATAGTAACAATTCACTCTCTGGAAAAAAACGACCCAACCCCTTCGGCCCTTCGGTGTTGGACGAATTGTCGACGTGGAAAAAATTGCACCTTGACCTCGACCTCCAACTGCTTCCGGACCACCTCACCGTCGATGAAGCCGCCCCACCTTTGCAAGCGTTGTACGGCGTACACAGCTGATAAAGAGGAGTAGCATGTTATGGGGTAGAATATACCAGCAAAACAATGTGGTGATCGTGTTGTATAGTAAAAAGAAACATATTACAATGGGTTTAAGATGATTCTGACATCATATAAGTCTGAAAATCGGGTAGAAAGCAAAGCACTTTGATGGGGATCTAGTGGGATGTAACATGAATATAATGTGATGTATATATATATAGTGGAATATGTGAAACAAATCCAACACATGCTTTCTCAACAAACATGATCCTCTAAACGGTCATATTTCGAGCCGTTGTGCTAATAGGAAGTCATTCACACGGTGCTGCACACATGTTTTAAAATGTGTTCATTTTTCTCTACCTAGGGAACCCAAAACGATAGGTACTGGTACTTGATGATTGGTTGCTCTGCTACTATAACTTTGATTTTGCGTGAGATACAGTATTGTACTGTGGATCAAACTCAGGAACTCTATGATGGCTGCACAAGAGGACGCATACACTCCATACCCCCATGATTCAGACAACAAATGGGACACGTGCAAGGCTAAATGTAGTTTTTTTCTTGTGTGTGAGTCCCCTATCCTTTTAAGAGGTTTGATCCGATGCTCATTCCACACAAAGTTTGACACAATCTCAAAAGCAAATGATCAACTGTTCAAGCCAGAGTAGTTACTCCCCCGAGAAACCACCAATCTTTCATGGCCACAGTCGCTCCAAGAAAGCAGGCTCATTTGGGTCAATCTTGTGAAAACCAAACCATAAATTGTGACTGCTAAAGAAAGCCATAAAAAGATGGGTACCCGTCTTTCTTTTTCACCCACAACGTACCCATCTTATGAACCAAACTTAAAGCATGGAAACCTATTAGAGTCATATCCAGAACATTCCAGAACTAAAATCAACTTTGGGATACTCTGGGATCCGGTTGTGCTGCTTTTCCAACACCAAATTCTCTGGGCTCTCCGCGCCTCTCTGACTCGGCATGACCCTGAGCCGGGTCACATTACTCTTTTTGCAGCTCAAAAAACATATGTCTATTGCATAACAACTTCATACATTGGGTCTTCTTGTTCCCAAATACATCTCTCACAAAAAAAATATCCTAAATGAGCACTTGGATTATTGTAATTCCCAATATATCAAGGGCCAAAGTGTAATTCCCAATTAAAATAAAGGGTAATATAATCCCATATAACCCCCGAACTAATCATCAACCAGCCAGGGTGGATCGCAGCCACAACCGGCGTCCCGGCCTTGCCAGGCCCCTCCTGGCAGCATGGCAGCACCCCCCAAAAAGGTCCCGGGGCCCGCCTGAAAAAAATCCAAAAAAAAACGAGTCCCAAGGTCACCAGAATTAAACACAAAAACTGGTTGGTGGTTTATAACCATCTTGAAACATATGAGTGAATGGGAAGGATTATCCATGATTACTTATGGTTAATGTTAATGGTTATTATATGGTTAATGATGGTTAATAACCTGGGTGGTGGTGCAATGTGCCCATCTTGAAAAATGATGGAGTTCGTCAATGGGGTTGGGATGACATCCCATATATGAAATGGAAAATAAAACATGCTTGAAACCACCAACCAGCTATTAAACACAATGTACATGTTTTTTAAGCAGCGCATTGGTTTAAGATGCTTTGAGGGACAAAACTGATCGGACACCATCATTTGCTAAACATGATCGGAAACCATCAAATGTTACCGTCTCAAATACAATTCTGAGATAAAAATGAATGCTTTACAAGACTTGGGTGTGATTATTAATACAATAAGTATTACATGTATTATATGATCACCAAAATAGAACGTGGATGTTTCACAAGAATGGGGAGTGATTTGTAGCCCAGACCAAGCTTGGGATTCGTGAAAAATCTGCACTTGCCAAAGCACCATTGAGATTAGACCTTTTGTGGGCTGAACCCGACTCCACATTGTGTGGCCACTGAAATCCTAAGTTTGTTGGGTCAAATCCGTCAAATCATATGCTAAAATCTATGTTGTTTGCCGTTTTTTTACTGGTTCAATCCCTGTTTTTGCTAGGTACATCAATCATATCCCACCTATTTTCTGGTTGAAATCTACCACTGATGCCCGCAACGGGATTCTGAGCAGCAGACCATGTCAGGGCCCTCGAGCCTTTGCCTGACCATGATCCTATTTGGGAGGTTCAAATGATTATGTGAGGGCATCGTTACAGGAAACACCCCCAAATATAGGGCTTTCATGTACAGTTTCCCTTCAACCAATTCTGTCAGGCTGTTATACAATGGCTAAAAAATGCTAAGCCATAATAAGTGATTTCACACCTTTGGATGAAGCCCTGCAACTATGGCGATAAATACCCACTTATTAAGTGGAACTGGATTATCAAAAGTGGGAAAGATCAGGATAAACATAACTGGTTGGTGGTTTTAACCATCTTGAAAAATATTAGTCAATGGGTAGGATTATCCCATATATTATGGAAAATAAAAAAATATTTAAACCACCAATCAGCATAAGAACATATCCACGGATTCATTAAGATTAACAACATTAGACTTCCAAGTATGGATGAATGAAACATAGCCCCTAGATTTGCAAACATAGCCCCTTAATTTAATAACTTCCGAGGTTTGGCACTTAAAGTTTGAAAGCAACTGAAAGCAACCACCAACAAATCTCCTTCTGAGGTCTTCGAAGCCCAAGCAGTACTGTAGATGTTTGAAACATACCCTCCGCAAATCAACCGTGGCTGGGAAGTCCCTGAACTAAACGGAGGTTCTTTTTTTCTGATTTAATGGGAAAAGCATCTCTGAATCGGAGGGGACATCATCAGAAATCTTTCATGTGTGATTTACACTTACACAGACAGTATTTCCGGAAGCACGGCTTCAGTAATAAATGAAGGTCCACAAGGTCGCCCGGAGAATGAAGCATGCTGTCATGCAGTCGTGGTTTGTTTGTTTCAAGAGCACAATTCCGCTCACAACTCAAACTGGTTGGTGGTTTTTCGCCTACCCCTCTGAAAAATATGCGAAAGTCAGTTGGGATGTTATTCCATTCCCAATATGATGGGAAAGTCAGTCATAAAGTTCCATGGTTCCAATCCACCAACCAGTTGTTCATTTCAGGAAATCATTGTCGTTTCCATTGAATATGGCTATGGATCAACATTTAAGACCCAGACAAACCGCTGATTTTTGGTCTAATTATCGAATATCAATCATCCAATTTTGGGGGGTATCGAATGACATTGACCCAGGACCATACCTATATACACATGTATATATATATATACACATATTATACAAATATATATATATGTATAGATTATCATATAAAATATAAATGTATATATTAGGGATTAAACCCTGTAGATGTTCCACGCCTCTTGCGGGGCTTATCCCAGATTCCGCGACCAGCTTGATGGTTGGCTTCCGTGCTTACCTGGCACCGTAAATTGTGCAAATCCATTTGGGGATTCCTATGACGTATTCGATGATGAATAATATACTAATGACTATGGACATTTATAAATTATAAATTATTCCTGTATGGATATCCATTATCTATTCCTATGATGAACAAACATTTGGGTGTTTCCATTGGGGATCCCCAATAGCTGGATGATTTATGTCGTGGGAAATCCCAATCTAAGATGGATGATAACTGGGGGTACCCCCATGAGGCTATGGACATATTCGATGGAGATCTAATAGTCTACAAGTTCAAGTTTCAGACAGTGAGTACCCCTAGATGTCCTGGGCTGTCATTGGCGTGCATCATGGCTGCGGAATGTCGTGGACACCCCAAACGCCAGCATATGCTATCAACAATTCCATATATTTTCGCAGCATAGTATCATTAGACCGCTTATCTGGCTGGTGGTATACCTACCCCTCTGAAAAATATGAAAGTCAGTTGGGATGATTATTCCCAATAGATGGAAAAATAAAAAATGTTCCGAACCACCGACCAGTTATCCACCGGTACGAAGGGGATGTAAACCCAGACACGCCATTTTTTTTCGCATCAACGGATTGGCTGGACACCTTACGCCAACTCGGAAGGTTCGGAGACTTCGTCTAACTCGGTGGCATTCGCAGCAGTTGGATTGCTGTTGGAGAGTTAAAAACAACAACAATGTCTATTGCAAAACACCCCAGCAATTCTCAAATCCATGTATATCCACGTTGTTTTTTTGTCTTGCATGTTTTTCTCTCCATAAGCCACCCAAATTCCAAGTGGTTCAATGGTTAAGGTACCAATTTTCCATTTTTTTTTCAGCATCGCTTCAGCAACAGTCCTTTCTCATGGCACGGTCCAGCGACGAGGATGCAGCTCCTTGGCAGGGAGGTGGCCGAATAGTGAGCAGTGATAGAAACCCGGCAGTCATGGCTGGGACCCACTCCATTTACAATAGAAAAGGCATCTACCCAGACAGCCAGACAAATTTATCTGTGGTTATCTATGGCATATCGATAGTTCTCTATGGTTATCTATGATGGAGTGAACATACACCAGGTTGATGAAAGCTCATGGGGATTTTTCTGGAGAGGAAAAACCCTCCCGCACTCGCCATGGAGGTTTAGATCGCTGGGAAAATCATGGAACGATCGATGGTCTTTTTTCCCATTGCCATGTTGGAGTATCGGAGGGGAACTTTAAAAAATATTGACTGGATTTGTTTCCAGCCAGGTTGAACTATCTTGGATAATCTGGGATGTGCGCCGATAAGTGGTTCATGCAAAGGTTATGACCAATGTTTAAAAAAAAATGCACCTCAATTAATGACTGGTTCTCAACCACTTTTACTAAGTCTATTTACCCATAGGCTGCATGTATGGTACCAGTACCCTCTGGTAATTTAACAGTTCGCTATTGAAAATGGCCTAGTCGAAATAGTGGATTTTCCCATTAATAGCATGGTGATTTGCCAGTTCGTTATGTAAACGTTTACCAGAGGGTATATCTCCATTAAATCACCATTCAAGTCTATTAAATCACCACTAAATCAAATGAGGTATCACTATGGTACCAGTATCTTGGAGTCTATTCACCAATCCTTTTACTCCCATCAAACATGGCATAGCTGGCCGCTGCCTTGTTCATAGCTGGCACCCTGCAACCTCGTTGGTCGTTGGTCAAGTTAGGATATACACATCACCAATAGCTATATGGTTTACTAATCATGGGCTGGTGGATAAACATATATATATATATAATTCATATATATATATATGTGGCAGGGACCTTTGGGGTCTATTTCGTTCCTCCTCGCACAAACGTAATCAAACGTCATTCTATATGCATATATACTATATACACAAGTAAATATGTCTACATGTGTGTACAAGTTCAACAGAAAGTCGCAATTTTTTCCCTTGCCCCTCAACCTGCGCAGCGTCCGTTTTCTGCTCCAAGAGATGCTGTCACCAGCACGCGCGAACGCACGCCAATTTGAACTCTGGGCAGAAGAGTCCTCCAGTGTCAATTGTGTTGCTTTCCATCCCTGCAAGCTACAAAGTTTTGGAATGCGCATGCAAGTTTGGGACTCTTGTGCGCTCATGCATGGGAATGTTTTGGTTGTCAGGAGTTTGTAGTTGTTCAACTGGTTGCAATATTAGTAATAAGCATAGTTTTATAGAAAAAACCTTAAAGGAACCTCATGGGCATGTAACACAAGCAACAAAGCAATGCAAACATGTTCCACCACTTCCACCTGTAGTGATGAAGAGGGAGGGTGATGGCGGCCAACCCCCTTCATTTTGTCATACTCATCACTTCATTGTTTTTGGCCCCGCTGTCGTCCCCTCTCAGGATCCTTTGAATGAAGAAGAGTTGCAAAAGCAGACCTTGGACCTCTTGGTGAACTTTGCATACAGGCTGCAGATGGATGGCCTGATGCCTGACCTGCCAGAACAGCCACCAGGTGAGCCCAGTAGTGGATCTGGTTTTCTGCGAGAAGTGGAAGGTTCTAAAGCCAAACACCCAGGTGCACCACTACTTGAAGCTTCTATGGCAATGGCACCTGGCCCAAGTCCAGGTATCTGCGCGTCTTCACCAGCCAGTGCAACTACGGTTTTGCCAGTTCAACCTGATGTTGGTTTGTTGGCACCTGCCACTCCTGAAGTACCCCCTCTGAGGCTTCAGCAGCATGCATCCCCAAAGAACTACCTGGTCCAGTTCCAGAAGCAATGGGGGAGGTTGACCTGTACTCCTGACCAGGTGAAGAAGCTTCTTTATTGCACCAAACAAAAAGGCTCTCAAGCTTCGACTGGGCCGTCCTCTACTCAAGATGTATCTGGTAGGAAATTCATGCATTTTCTCAAGCATCATATGTTTCTATGGTTTTGCTTTCTGTGTGGGATTCAAGTTTCTTGATCTATGCATTTAGTATTGTTCATTCTCAGGTACCAGAGTTCGTGCCTCCTCGAGGAACTTCTAGTGGAGGTTGGTTCAGGAAAGTTTCTGGGCTAGTAGTTGCTTGGAAGCTTGGAGAAGCGCACAGGATGAGATGCCTACTATAACGATGGGAAGAGATTTCACGGGTGAAGGCGTATGTGGCAGCTTTGGTGGGCTACGTCAAAAAGTGTGGATGGCAAAAGAACTTGGAGGGTGAGTATGGCTTGAACACTTGTACTCGCCTAAGATCTTACTGACTCCAGCAAAGCCTGGGTGGTTAAAAGAAAACCTTATATCAAACTATCAAACAGTAAGAATTTCAATTCTGTTTCTAAATTGAAAATAAAGCAGTCGCAATTTTCAATTCGGAAATCGAAATTGAAAATCCAACAGTCACCATTTCAATTCAGAAATTTAAATTTAAAATCAAACGATCACCATTTCAATTCAGAATTCCAAATTGAAAATCAAACAATCTCCATGTCAATTCAGAAATCTAAATTGGAAAACAAACAGCTGGCATTTCAATTCAGAACCTTAACTTGAACCTACAATAGTATATGTTTTACTTTTCAGATTTTGATATTAATTTGGTTTACTATTTGGCACAACTATCAAAAAAATAATGTAGTTTTTACATAAGCAGCCTTTAGGGCTTTCATTTTTTTAGCCAAAAAGCACATTGATGCTTTCATTTTTTGAAGCTGTCACAAGTATAGCACATTGATGCTTCAGGTTTTGGTGTTCCATTAGTGCATCAGACATGTGTCCTTTGCATTTTTCTTGTCAAGGTGTAAGCTGTCAGGATGTCCAGTAATAGGGGTCAGGCACGGGGTTCAGCCACTGATCCAATGGTATCTCGACAGTTTCAAACCTGGACCTCATCCAATGGATGGAAGAGCCTCTGGTATGTCGAGATTCATCAATCAGGTTTTGATTCTTGGTTACCAGGTTGAAATTCATCATGTTTTAAAGCATACGGGAACTCAGGTAGTATGAGGATAGACGTAAACAAATTGCTCGCTTGCTCAGGCAGGATGCTCTTGAGCACTTCAAGCAGAATGAAGGCCCACATCTTTTGCCTGCCAGCCTGAAGAACTTGATCAAAATCAGTTACATGTTGGCTGGGGTCCCTGTTCCTTCTGGCGATGCTATCTGCGCCTGATAGCTGCAGCTGTATGCCCATAGTGCATGGAAAGCCTGGATGAAAACATACTTGGGTGGAATCAAAATACTGTGGGGGGAGAAAAAATATTTTTAAAAAACACCATGTGGTGTACTTGTTTTTTTCTGGCCCAGTGGCCTTTCCTGCTATTTTGAAACTATTGTGGTTTATGCCCAAGGGGCTTTCATGTAAAGGTCCAGGGTTGGGTATGAGAGCCCACTGAAGTTTATATGCTTCTAACCTTAAAGGGTCCCAGAACCCATTCCCACCGACTCTTGCTACAGGTTTTGCTGATAGGGCTTTCATTTTATTTTGTAAACTAAATTGTTTCTGCCCAAAGGGGCTTTCATGTAAAGGCTTAAACTCCTTTATCCCATGCCCAAAGGAGCTGTCATAATTCTAACTTTGAAGGTTAGCAGAATCAATTCTCTTCTGCTTCTGCTGCAGTGGGCCCATAGGAATTGTGGGCTCACCTTAGCCTAGATCCTTTGATCACCATGGCTACTTGGGACGTTGAGGACTTAGTCAAGGAGATTAGTGATATGGAAGCGATTTACCAAAGAAACGCTGGTTCACAGCTGGTGCCACGAATGCAGGAAGCTTTGCAGTCCAAAGTGAACGGTGTCCAAATGCTCGCTGCTTCTAACTTCTTGAAGCGTCCTGATGCTGTTCAAAATGGCATCTTGACTGCTGACACGAAGGCAGAGTTGCAAGCATTTCTCGAATCAAGGGCAGCCTCTTCAATCCAAGGTGCCACCAGGTTGCAGGCTACACCTCGAAGCATGACCACGCCTTGGAACTACCTGTCCCAAAGCGAATGGCAGCAGATGCAGAATGGCATCAACACAGTTGATGCTACCCACATGCTGATCAAAAG